CATTCCCTTTTTTAATCTTTTTTTTTTGTTAAGGCAGCTGCAGGGAGGTCCTGGGTTCGATCCCTGCAGGCCTCAAAACGTTTTTTTTTTATTTCTTTGACATCCAAAAATTTTCAGATTCTTTTTAAACCTATTTCTAAGTTTTTGGAAATTTATTCCACTATTTTTTTGCACTTTTTCATCAAGTTTCACATTAGTTCTTAGGGAGATTTCATGGTTCATTCAATTCACTACGCTTCGTCAAAATGAACATCACATTGTACACCCATTTCACACATAAAATACATGATAAATATACAACTTATACACCCCAAAACAATGCCTAAAAACACTGCCCTATACACACCCATACATCAACTTTTCCGGTCATATTTTAATGATCATTATCGTGATTTTTCGCACATAAACACATTCATATTTAATTTAAGCACATCATTCATGTAAAAATCTAGCAGCACAACATACCCATCCTACAAATTCGTTAGGGAGCTAAGGACAAGGACATACGAAGGGGAACAACCTTAGTTTCAAGAGTTTAAGAAACATTCAAAAGAAAGTACTCTTGGAGAAAGAATTCCATAAGAGAAACCCATACCTTAATCGATGTTCAAACTTTAATGTTGCTGCCTGGAAAACTCCTCCAAACCACTCCCAATTCACTTCAACGTATACCTCTCTCGACGAACCTCTCTTAGCCTTGACGTTTTGATTACTTTTTCTTTTGCTTAAAAAATTTTTGTGAGTTCTTCAAGCATGAAAACTGTTGATATTTTGGCAGAAATAATGTGAGGAAGATGGAGAACGTGAGAGAGGGAGTTAAAGAAGCGTGAGAGAGAGAGGACTATTGGGATTAGGAGACTAATTCAAGAATTAGTCAAATAACATTTAAAATAAATAAATACAAATCTGTTTTTGATTTATTTATTTATTCATTTAAAACGTGAAAGGACAATTATGCCCTTAAATACCTATTTATTCTTATTTATATAATTCTTTTTTTTTTTGAATCGTTACATTGTTACTTGATATATCATGTTCTCTCATGTACAAACTATGTTGAAAATTAAAGAACTAAAAAATGGATAAAGGAGTTACACTTGTAAATAATATTTAAATTTGTGATTATGTCACAGTATAAATAAAAACAGTGTTTTTGGTAAATCTTCTTCTATAAAACCGAAATGCAAACTAAATTATATTTTTTTTTGAAATCACAATCCAAAATTCATATCGATTTAGTTTGATAAATCGATTTTTTACCAAATTCTGAACGCCCCTTGCACTTATGTTTGAGAGTTGGATGGAGAGGCAGGTTATTGGTCACTCAAAAATTGGAAAGGAAAAGGATTCGTTTAGGTATACATTCTAGTTTGAACAAACAAGAGTATTTTAAAGCTTTCAGCTACAAAAATAATATAAGATGTAATAAAGATCAACCGATATCAAGTGTTATACACATTTCAAAGTATACAAATTGTTATCTGCACACACCTGTACCGACCGAACATTTGGGTGTCACAACATGCACAGGGAAGACCGCACAGAGTTAGTTTAACCTAAGATACACCTGAACTAGTGGCGCTGTGGTGCAAAAAGAGCTCTCCAATCTACCTGGGAGATAGGTGATCCTGTTCTGTGGACTGAATTTTCCCATTTTCTAGTTCAATGCTTGCTTCTTTTGGTACTGAACATGAATCTGAAGGGATGTTAATGCCTGCAAAACCAACCATGACAGCTGCAGCTCCAATGTAATCCATGATGGGGGGTGCATTTCCTGTCAGTGAATCCACAATTGCTGCTAGAGGAACCTGAATGGTCAGTCCTGCTGTCGCTACTGTTGTGGAGGTCAACAGAATAGCCTTGGCCCACAGTAAATCGCTCAGCACATTATCAAACATACCTAAATGTGGTTATTTGAAGTTAGCTACATGTAGTATGCGGCCCCAAACTAGATAAAGTAGCAAAAACCAAAAGCTGGCCATATGGCCAAAGCCCATCCGAAGAAAAGGAGAAATAGAGAGGAGCGAAGAAATGTAAAGATTAACTTTCACAATTCAAGTATTTAAGGTACATGATTCCTGTGCACTGGATGATTGATGAACATCTAAAAATGATATCTCATAATACTAGCTGATAAAGGATCTCTTTTAAAGTTGACCTGATGTGATCTAAGGGCATGTCACTTAATTTGCTCCTACAGGAAGGACTCATCATTACATCACTGAAGCTTAAAATCTACGCTTCCAAGTTGTCGCTTCTTCTAATCTCAATTATCAGATGCAGATAGAATACAAAAAAGAAATCACGATAAATCATAACATATATAGTTAAAAATTTGTTGTTCACAGTTAAAAAAATTAATAGAAAGCCCCAAGGGCACCATATTCTAGGAGTCGGCTTAGAGTGAATGAAACTCACCACTACCTTAAAAGAGGCCTCCAATTTTAGTTTTGCCACTGTTTTTTCCTTCCAGCAGCTTATCCTAAAAAATATATCGTCATATGTTCTTTCTAACTGACTTGTATGGAACAACCTACTTCAACCTAGAACCTCAGACATCTTCTCAACTCGGCAATGTAGAGTAAAAAAGAGGGATCCATTTTTACTTTTGTTTTTGTTATACCATCCAGCAGCTTAGTTAGGGACATATAACATCAAGTTTCTTTCCAACTGCAAAAGCCTAAACACTTCTTTACAAAAATGGCTATCCATGGTGTTTGCATCTAGAATAAGTTTTATATAGATGGCCTTTGAATAAATAACAAAGACAAAGAAGAAACTATGGTATGGGTTTGAGCAAATAAGAAAGACGAAGAAAAATCTGGTAACAGTTTAAGCAAATGGCATTTGAATCTGGTATAATTTTGAAAACAAAGCTATTTATGGTGTTTGAAATAAGAAAGAAGAATCAGACACAGCATTATAGGTTTTGCAAGAAAGAAGACGAAGAAGAATTTGCAGGAATGGCCTAGTTTAAGATGTCGATGAAAAACTAGGTGTACAAATGAATTAATAGAGTCAAGTTCAAACTTCAAGGGGTCCTCGATGTGTATCTGGCCTATGTTTTTCTCCTTTTTATTAAATAGAAACAAAATCTTCTTTCATAAGTTAAAATCATTTTCTTTCAATCTCGCACCAAGACAGTATCATCTAATCATGCAGATTTTACATTGGACTCTCAAAAAAACTCTATCCACCTATCTATACAAGGAGTATTTTCTTCACGCAAAAATATTGTAAAAAGATATTGGTTTTGACTTCACAGATTGGCTTCTCTAGTGTCTCGAAATATCTAATATAGTTCTCTCACCAAATCGTCCAGAACAGGCATAACAGACTGACAGACGCCATCTTTCTCTCTTCTTAGCTTTCATGCTTTATCTTAACGTCAACATCATTTGAGGGTATTGGTTGTCGTCTTTTTGTATGATCTTAAACAATCTTCACCTCTTAAGTTGGATGTTGGGGTTAAGCTAGGTCCTAAGTCTATTTTTCTCCACGTCGTATCAGATCAGACATATCCCTACTGTTTTATTACCCAATCGGAGCGCCTGAGACCCTATTGTATGTTATCAGCATTCCAGATATTCGAATATGGGCGTACATAGGGTGTTTAAGTCCTACATTAAGTAAGGATATGTGTAGTCTCTTTATATGGTCTTGAACAATCCTTACCTTAAGCATCTTTTCTATTTCTCTTTACATTTCCACCTCCTAGCTTGCTACAACATCCATCACCGTTCTAAGTTATGTCTAAGATATACTAAACTTAGACCCGTATACCTAAAGTAAAGACGCAATGTTGCAAGAGATGGTCCATACATTTTTCATGCCTTGTGCACAAACCAATAACAAGATACTATAATGTTTCTCCTTTTCCTCAGTTCACCATCTTTGTAGTTCCTCAAGAACTTCTCTCAAGTAACAGACCAAGTACTTAGGTGTAGCATTTCCATTTTACAAGCATAGATATAGCTAACTCATGAGTATTACGTACCTCTCCAACTAGGATTATCTTGGGTTTCCGCAGAGTTACTTGAAATTAAGGTTTTTAAATGAGCAGATTTTGCTGAATTTGGACAGGTTATATTTACATATCAAACAAAGAGAAGTTGCTTTATGGGTCATTTGTGCTATTTGTTTGTCCCAAATTAGCCGAAGCTCACTTGGTTTGCCCCTAAAGTGACCCACCATAAAAATATGCACACAAATCGATAAATACTTAAATGTGCAAGGGAAGAAACAGGATATAGATAGGTAAATACCTTTACCAACTATCAAGCCAAGTTGCTTCCAAGTGAGCGTGTTAAATGGCTCAAGGTTAGCAAAGTTGAGTACAAGAGGTATGGGTAAGAATATGAGCATGTTGAATAAACCCAAATATCCAAGAAACTGTGCCATACTAGCATGACCACTTTTCCCATCATCATCAGGTAACTTTTTACGAATAAGGGTTATATAAACAGCATACATAGCAGCTGAGACAAGAGAAAGAATGTCACCAAGAACGGGATTCAAAGCCACTTTGCTAGACCCTGATTTTGAGTCACCCAAGCTCACAATGATTGTTCCTCCCATACAAAGTAGAACACTGAACAGCTTCACCCAAGTAAAAACTTCTCCCAAGAATACAAGAGACACCAAAAAAGTAAACAAGCTGGAGGAACTGCTTAAGATGGTATTCGACTGTAAAAAAAAAAAAGACATAACCACATTACACATACAACACATCACCAAACTAAATGTGATTAAAAAAAATTGGATAGTTATGCTTACCGTAACAGTTGTATATTTGAGTGATAGATTAAATGTAAGCTGAGCTAGAAACCAAAAAGGGCATATCAACAAGCTAACTTTTGCTACTCTAGAGCGTGTCCAACGCCCTTTTGCATCAAGACCCATATCAACATTTTCATCAATAATTTGTTCGCTTGTCTCATCCAGAAGAACAACCTCCTCTGATTCTGGTGAATCAGAGGTATTATCTTTGTTGTTTCGCCAAAACAACACGGTACCATATTTATCCTCTAGAAAATGAACAATTTCAATAAAGGGAATATATACTATGAACAAAGAATTGCAGAGATATGTAACAAGAAAAGGTGAAACACCGGCATCGACAACAGATTGAACAACAAAACTAGCAGCAATCCATATAGATGCAACAGTAATTATATAAACCAAACCCAAAACCCATCTCCAAGATTGATCTTTCATTCCTTTTAAACAAAAAAAATAAAAAAAAATAATGTCTACTTGCTCATTGATCAACAAATATAATGGGGCTCCAATAATATTATGCAGATTATTTGTTTACTTTTTCCAACAAATCTGCAGATTGCAGATATTGCAAGTCTAAGTCTCCTTCCGGGAGACGCGTACCGCAAAATTTGAAGCACGTGCTCATGCTGGGCTTCCTCAATTGACACGCTTATGATAGTTTGGGCCCTAATCTCGATTATTGGATCCATGTAAAAATTAGGCAAATCACATACTATTTCATTAATTACTAAAAATCTCTTTTTTTAGTGTTGTTCGGATACTAAAATTATTAAGTTATTGTTATCAGTTTAAGCATTAAATAAGAGATTAAAAACAGAAATTAATTGATTCTCACAAATCACGCGTACGTTTCTTCCTTCAACCAATCAGTCATAAATCTCTAACTCAATTATAATTTTTAAATTTCAAATTATGAAATTTTCTTCCCGTTCTTCGGAAAAACATTAAAAGTTTGATTCAAATAGACATTTTGGATTATAGAAAAGTGATGTTATATACGAGCGATACAGAAGTGATGTGATAGTGGTTGGAGAAAATATTTCATTCATAAATCTTATTTCAACAATTGCAGCTGAATTGGGTATTGATGAATTGAAAAAAACACATCAAGATCAGATATATTGTTGAAGGTAATTTGTCTCCATTATATATTCAGAATGATATGGGGGTGAAATTTTATACATAGGAATGTAGAAACATGAGGTAGGATTCGCTATGTATTCACTATGCATTGATACATCAGATAAAAGTGATAAAGAGATACAAAATTTTGATGCAATAACCGGTGAAATTTGTGTGTGCTGAAGGTGAAAAAAGGGTCGCAAACACTTTCTTCCCGAAAGATTCTTGATGCTTGCTTTTCAGAAGTACTTTTCTGCTTCATGTCTAATAATTCTCAAATTAGATACTTTATGAAGTACTTTTAGGTTACTATTTTATGATGTGATAAATGAAAAAATGTTACGGTTACAGTTCTCTGTTACATTTTTTGATTCTTAATTTTTGATAAAGTTAGTTTGGTATACATTTGTGTGTCTGATACTTAATTGTTTGTAAATTTTGTATTGGATAGAGTAATAGTATCAATAAATGTGATGTGTGCCAAAGTTAAAAGAAATGACATGTAAAAAGGTATCATTTGAAGCAACGATATATCATATACATTATATCTTTTTTTGAAATTTTGTATCTACTAATAATAAAATATCGGATATTCTGCAATTGAAAAAAAATAATGTTGATACTCAATATAAATAATAAGCTTTAATATGATACATAAAAATGTAAAATTGTACTTAATACATAATTCTAATTATTATAGGTCAGTTAAATTGATACTTAATAGAAACAATAAGCTTTAATATGATACATAAAAATGTAAAATTATACTAGATACATAATTACTACATATTATAAATCAGTCAAATTGATACTTAATAAAAACAATAAGCCAACTGATGAATGTTATGTTGTTTACCTTGAAAGGTAAATAAGTAATTTTTAAAGATTCAATGGTTCCATTACCAGATAAGAAATTGTCTTGCCATCTCGATACAAAAGAATATTTTGACGGTCACCAAAAAAAAAACTCAAGTGTTAAGCTAACTATGAGCAGAAATCGTTGTGGACGTTATAGACATGAAAGTCACAACACGCGATCTTGTACTTTCTCACCCAAAGAAAAGTGATAGATTCTTCTAAGAAAAATACATTCAACTTCCAATTAAGTGAAGTGTTCCTGTTAAATTAATAAATAAAAATTTGTTCAACTTTGTGTACATTTTTGCTGGAAAATAATTTACTAACACTTTTAAACTATTAAATTTTATAAATATGATAAAATATTTATATAATATATATATTTATTTTAATAATACTGTATATGATACATCATGATTTTGAACCACCATATTTACTGTAACTTTATGTTAAGTATCACTTATAAAAGGAAGATAAAATAGTATATTCGATACATTAATTTATGTAATTGGTAGATGTTCAAATATATATTTTTGTGGTTAGATATAAAGCGTATCCTTGACTTAATAAACGACCTCTTGAATGATAAAATTGTGTGATACTTAAATTTATAAAATTTATTTGTATCAGATAATTTTTAAAAGTATTTTATTTTGTATTGTATACCACAACCACTATAATTATAACCAAAAACTAAAAAAAAATATACATACTAAGATCAAAATTAAAATACATTAAAATTTAAATTCAAAATAATAAATTTTTTAGAGAAATAACCAATTATCCAGAAACGAACCTCCTAAGATTGTTAATCTTAGATCATTTTCTTAAAAAAAATACATCACATCGCAAATGCAATAATTCTATCCTTTTTGGGGGGTCTTCCACATTCGCTTTAAAGATGAAGTTTCATTCTTCTTCGATTTCGTCTTCTAAATATTATCATCTTCATTGTTAATAGATCCTACAAGCTTTTGGATCTATTTTCAGCCCAATCATCATCTTCGGAATCATAATGAGTTGAATAGATCTATTTCATGAAAGTTTTCATCGTCAAAACAAAATACACACGGTATCATACTAAAAAGATGGAGCAGAATTCATATGTATAAGAAAATTGTAAATTAAAACGTTATTTTTTTGAATAAAAAAAATGAAATCTAAAGAATTGAAAATAAAAAACTGATGAAGAATTAGTTTTACCTCTTTAGGAACTTGAAATTGATGAACATGAGAGAGAATAGATTTGAAATTAAAAAATTGAGTGATTGATGTAACTGTTGATATGTGGGAGTGATTTTAGGCGTAAAAATAGAAAAAAAAAATGTTGGCTTGTAAGGGATGTAAATGATGTATGTGGAAATGAGAGAAAAAGAGGGAAAGAGGAATTTTTGAAATATTTTAAAATGGTAGGGAATTTTAGAAATTATGGAAAGAAAGAATGTGTAGTTAGGTAATTTTTTCATATATTTTTAAAAATAAATTGCCACATCGTACGATTTGTAAATTAAACAGAAAAGGGTTAAAAAAATACTCCTACCTTTGAGAAATGGTTCATAAATAATAGAGCTATACATATGGGCTAGCCCACCCCATCCGGGCTAATCCATACAGACTTTGATATTTTAGGGGCCAGGCCGGGCTACCCAATTTTTTGTGTGGGCTAAAAAATGGTCGGCCCAGCCCACAAGTACGTGGGCTACAGGCTTGCCGGGCCAGCCCACTTTTTTTTAAAAAATATTTTTTTATAATTATTAAATTAAATTATAAATTATAATTTAAAATATCATCATAAATATGAACAAAACATTATTACATTATGTTAGTTCTCATTTGTTTGCACTTAATGGGGTTTGAATCTTAATCATTCAAATTTGCCTCATTAAGTGTGTTTGTTTTTAAGAACTGGATTTTAATTATTCAGATTCAATTCATTAAGTTCGTTTGTTTTATTTTCTTATAAGCCTCTTAATGAGTCTGGATATATTTAAATGAATCAAATCTGTAACACACCCTTAACACTATTCAGACTAAAAAATAAGACTCCTATCTTAATTCAACTAAATCACGATAACTCATAAAAAATATTTTCTTATTTAATTAATATTAATTACATGTTTGTCATTATAATTTCCTTTATTCATATTTAACTTAATATACATCTTTTACTTTCTAAATTAATCAATATATTTGAATTGATAAGTATTCCCATGATATAATATTTAACACGATTTTAAAAAATAAGAAAATATTAGTTATTTGATCGATAACAATAAAAAATTTCTATGAAAAAATAAAATAAAATAAAATAAAATATTTTCCTAAACTATATTTACTACTCTATATAAACTATTTTAAATTGCATTATATTAGATTCTCAAAGTATTTGAGTGCAAAAAATAGTCATATTAATGATGTAACTTAATGTTGAGTTCTTAAAAGATAAATCATATTACCTTGTTAAGGTAAAAATGTTCAAAATATTATTTTATATGAAAAAAATTATTTACTAACAAGGTTTTTATAATATTTAATTGATATAACGTTTAATTTCATATGTGCATTCAGATATTGAAAACAAATTGCCCCAATAATTTAGTGTTCAGATTTAGAGACAATATTTTAATATTCAGATGTTTATTCAGATTTACACATCTAGATCTTAATGCATATCTTAATATTTAAATGTGTATTCAAATTCAAACGTCTTAATCTTAATGGAAACAAATTAGACCTTGTCACTACTTGTTAATCGATTTCACAAATATAATAATCTTTATAATATTTAGGGAAAATGCACAAGTACCCCCTAGACTATGACCGAAATCCCAAAGACACACCTTACTAAGGTCGTATTAACCCCCTGAACTTATTATTATTTTTTTTTTATAATTTTGTGTACCTCTTTAGCTTACGTGACATCCAAATATTTCTGACGCGCCTCAATTGAGTGGAGTCACATAGAGTGCCACACAAGACAAAAGGTGTATAAAATTACAAAAAAAAAGTTCAGGGGTAATAAGACCTTAATTTAATTAAGGTGTTTCTCTGGAATTTTAGTCATAGTCTAGGAGGTACTTGTGCGTTTTCCTTAATATTTATTAAGTTTTTTTTCCAACTAAAAGTATAAATATCTAAAAAGAAATATTAACCTAATTATTTTGATTTTGAATTTTTATTTAAATTTTAATATTATAATATATTTTAAAATTAATTTTTATTGACCCGCGGGCCAGCCCTACCAATATTTCTCAAGCCCCCCAAATGAGCTGACTTATTCAGGCTGGGCTAAAAAACCATTTTCGTAAATGGGTTCCAAAAATCTTAGCTTAGCCCAGCCCAACGAGCCTAGCCCATATTGACGGCTCTAGTAAATACCCTCCTTCATCTTTGGGTTACCTCTAATGTTTATCTATTGGATCAAACTTACCCCTCAAACTAACAGATGTAAGGTCAAGTTTTGACTCTATTAAAAAGAGTGATGTGACATTTTCTAATTGATCTATAAATTTAATTTCAAAATGATTATATAAAAACTCACCCATTCAATTTTTAGGACGTCCACTTTAGAGATCAAAGAATTTTTGGGTTCTCGCGAAAAAACTATGGAAAATTAAAAAATGAAAAATGCCGGACGGGGGAGGGAAGTAAAGGGATATTATTAATAAGAATTTTGAATAAACTGTGAGCCATTTCTTTATCATATTTTTCAAAAAAATAAAAGCAAAAAAAAAAAAACCCACTGATCCATTTTAAAGTACATAGAACTCTTCTTGTAAGTTCTGCATCTTCTTTTAGTTCAATTGAAAACTAAAAGGATAGGCTTTAAAAGTTGAACTTTTCGCTGGTTACTGGTTCATGAAAGCAATAATGTATATAATTATATTTTGATGTTTGAGTTATTATAATATTTTGTAAGAAATAAAAAATGACTATTTTTGATGATTTTTTTGTTGAATCTGTTCTTCCAAATGTTATGGGAATAACTATGCTTTTATGGCGATTTTGAATAATTAGCGATAAGAAATTGCTTTTATATGTTGGTCAAGTAATAGTTGAATTCTACATTTGTGAAATGTCATTTTCAAGGACTTCATGTTTCAGCAATATAACGTTCAACAGTTTAGTATTTGTCATGTATATTTTTAATGAGTCAATAGATTGAAGGAAGAACAAAGACTCAAAGAGATGCAGAACCCGCTAGGTTCCTTAAAATGAGTTTGTGGGTTGGATCTTAAAAATTGAGTGGAGGGTATATATATTTTATTTGAAATTAAAATTTTGTGAAGCAATTAGAATTTGCCATGTGACTCTTTTTAATAGAGTCAAAACTTGACCTTAGTTCTGTTAGTTTGAGGGGTAAGTTTATCCAAAAAATAAACATTGAGGGTATTTTTTGGATACAAAGATGGATGGAGGATATTTATGAACCATTTCTCAAAGAACAAGGGTATTTTTGACCTTTTTCTGTAGATTAAATTGGCAATAAAGAACTCCTTTTTAATTTTTTAGTAAAAAAAACTTTGTTTTATCTATTTGACATTCAATAATTATTTTTTCCTTCTAAAAAATTGTATGTTTGTTTTCTTTATTTTTCTCTGAATACATTTGATTGGTGTGAAAAAAAATATTGTTTTATTATTTCTATTTTATTTCTCTTTTTTATTTGTTAACCATTTTAAAATAGAGTTCTTCTTCTATTACTTGTCTCTTTTTTCTCTTTCTAGAATTCTTTTCATATACGTATATTTGTTTCTCTCTCAACTTTTTAATTATTCTCCTTAATTCACCCTGTTATGAAAATTACATATAACAATATGTTTATTCATGCATACTTCTTAAAATCATATTTTCTATATAATTTTGTATTTGTCCAATTTATTGTTGAATTTCATGATTTGTGAAATTAATTTTTTTTTGTTTTTATGAAATTTTAGGTTATTCATCTTTTCTTTTCCTAATATCCTTTTCAAATGTATATTTGCTTCTCTTCTAAATTTTCTCTTATTCTTCTTAATTCATTACGTTTATGCAAATCAGATAATTTATATGTATTTCAATTGATCCCCTCAAAGATTTCTTTTTTTGGAGGTCATCCCCATGGGCTAAACTTTGAACAACTCTCACAATTTCAAAGATTAGCAGATTTAGATATACATGTGCTGATTTATTTTTCAGCTTTTCCCAAAAGTCAAATGTTGGTAAACTATAAAGAAGAAAAAAATTGTTTTTCTTTTCTAGCACATTTGGAGGGTACTACATTTGTTCTCTATAAAAAGGAGGGTCATTCTTCATTCTTAAATGCACAAAAAACAAAGAAGAGAAAAGAAGAGTGAGACATCACAAAGGAAAATAGTCTATGAGGAAAAATAGAAAGTGTGAGCGATATTATAGTGAGGTGGAAAAATCAAAAGAGGGTTATTTCTTTTGAGTGTGTAGTGATCTTTGGAGTTTTAATCAGACCTACAAGTGTAAAAATTCTTACTATAGTGATATCAGTTGCTTCCTCGGGTCGTGATTTTTCCTTTATTCATGAGGTTTTCTACGTAAAAGCTTGGTGTCACTATTGCTCTTTTATTCTGGTTGATTAATTGTATTATTGTGTTCTACTTTTATTGCTTTTATTACCATAAATATTATTTTTGTTACGGGTTTATTTATAACAATCGGTATCAGAGCAAAGGTTCTGCTCATTTACAGAAATATTTTTTGCACCTTATCATACAATACTAAGTCAAAAAAATATTTGTAGTAAAGTACGAGGTAGCAAAATTCAATAGTGATAGCGGATTCTCAATGTGGCAGAGAAGGATGAGAGACTTGCTCATCCAACAGAATTTGCACAAGGCACTAGGCGACAAATCCAAAAAGCCCGAATTCACGAAACTTGGGGATCGAAAAGAAATGGATGAAAAGGATGCTAGTGCAATCAGATTGCACTTAATAGATGATATGGTTGATAACATCATCGATGAAGAGAGTGCATGTGGCATTTGGACAAAGTTAGAAAATCTATACATGTCCAAAACGCTGCCAAATAAATTATACCTAAATAAGCAATTATACACCCTACATATTGGTGAAACTACAATTTTTGTCCCATTTAAATGTGATTAATGGAGTAATCACACAGCTAGCAAACCTCGGAGTAAAGGTCGAGGAGGAAGATAAATCCATAGTGCTCCTACACTCGTTGTCATTTTCCTACGATAATTTGGCAACAACCATTTTACATGGTGCAACGATTAAACCTTGTAACTACTGCTTATTGGGTAAGCAACATAGAGTCTCCTTTCAGACATCATCTGAAAGAAAGTTGAATATAGTTGATTTGGTATATTCTGATGT